TGAATGATGCCTCTGAAAACTGACAGCGATTCACGTAATCTCGACTAATCTGCAGCGTGACTCTGTCAGCCACTGCATTGCTGTAGATGTAGGGAAGCGATGATCATGCTGTGAGCACATTTCAGAGCCTTTCTGGCATGACGACTATGTTAATTTTTGAAAGCCCCACCGAGACTGGGGGGTTTTCAAAATTATAAACATTTCTATGAACATTTGCAAATATTTTAAAACTGATCTGTGTATGCTGCTCTGCTCTGGTCTGCCCTTTGGCTTGACTTCCTTTGAGCATTCATGCAATTGTGTTTTACAGGAATGAATGGGAAGCAAATAGGCAGTGGCTTTGGGAGTGCAAGGAAGCCAGCTCTGAGGGATACTGTACCACAAGCTTCTTGCAGGAAGTTCTTCCAGGTTCATATGGTGGTGACTGCCTTTGGTGGGATATGGCAGCAGCTGTAGCTTCCTTCTCATGGCCAGGGGCTCCCCTTCAGCTAGCTGAAATGCTTTGGGGGTGCACAACTCCTGCTGGAGCATTGAACTCTAAACACAGTAGCTGCTGAGGCTATAGCTGTGGATGATTGCAAGGCCCAGGGCTTGTGGTTCAGGAGCAGAAATGGTGCCATGTGGCTCAGCTGGACCAGTAACCTGGCAGAGCCACTGCTGGAATATTCGTAGGGAGCTCTTCATGACATGAAACTTTCCTGCAGCTTTGCAAAAGCCTGCTTTAATCATTGCCAAGAATGCACCCGCTTCATGGGTGCAAAGCATCTGAGGTTCTCAGATGAAATGGGATCATTTTACTGATAATATTTTTAATTTGCCTGCCAGGACTGGAGCCTGGGCATCACTGTAGAAAGCAGTTCATATGGACTTAGCAATACTTGGAGAATTTAAGGGCTGTGTTTACACAGCTTGAGGTCTATCTGTTCCTGTGCTTACTGTTTCTTGTTAGCTGGCTCTAGGCAGCTTTCTCAGTCATTCTTCAGAAGTGTTTCAGCTCTTTTCACAGGATTATACTGCATTTTTATCAGTTAGCTGTAAAAAACCCCAACAAACTTAACAGCATGTGTAGTGAAAGGAGGGTAATACCAGAAGCTTACCATCAGCTTGCTTTTCTTCAATAGCCATTTTTCCTTCATCCCTTTCACCTTTCCTGCTGGCTAATGGTCTACACCATTTCCTGAGTCATTTCACAACACTAGGATTAGGAAAAGCAAACAGTGTCTTGAATAATATACCATTTTATAATTACATACCTGTTTGAAATGAGTTGTACTTGGGAGCCTTACTCTTAAAATGGTGGATAGTTAGAGGGAAAACTTCTAGTCCCGCTATTGGCATGCCTTTTAGGATGGGAGGGCTTTTGAATTTAGAATATCTTCAGAGCTGGCAGTGTGTTTTAAAATATCAGTATATGAATTAATCTCTGAGTTTTAGCACTGGATGAACTTGAGGTCCATTTGGATGCTTAGTGTCACTTTATTATCTGTTTGTAAACCACTTTGAATTCACAAAGCTGAATGTAAATAAGCATTATTACTAAAATTTTACATGTAGCAAGTGTCAAAAGAATTTGTTTTGTGAAAAAATATAAATAAATTATTGATTTCATTTTAGATATTTAATCTTTTTATATTTATGACCCTATACATTTTCTTTTAAAGCATATAGTACAGTTTTTGGAGACCCAGAAGGCACTTTACCCTACTCTGATATTTTATTTTCCTGCATCTGTGAAGCTAAACTTGTAAAGTCTCACTCTTGTGAAATGCTTAGTTCCACACAGTCTCTGTTTTTATGAAATGGGAATGCTAAGCAGAAAAAGAATTAGGTATCTTGAATACAAATTATTAGGATTTGGCCCATGGTTAATGTGTGTTCCACACGGCTGGAAGCAGCAGCTGCTTTTTGGTTACAGTGTACTCCATTCTGGCCAGCAAATACAGGGCTAGTATTCTGATGTTTCAGCAATTTTCAGCCTTATGTGAACAGCAGACAATGTTTGCTTCAGATCACTTGACCAGCAAGTATTGGTAGAATGGATATGGTATATGTGACCAGAAAATAAAAGCATAAGCAATGCTTTGTGTATGTTGTCCTCGGCACTGGTAGGTTTTCTGTCATTCCTACAGGTACAGTCACAGTATAATTCTGAAATACATACACGTTAAATATATAATTTTTCTCTGTGCAATTTTCATTCTGTTAATGCAGTTTCACACAGATGATGAAAGCCATTTAATGGAATGAATATTCTCTGCTCTTTCTATCAAAGATAAAAAACAGACTTGTATGTGTTAGGTTGAAGCATTAACATTTTTCTCTACATAGGGCTCCTAAGGTAGAGTTTGGCTATAGATTTAGGGTGACATAATGCCATTGTTTATTCCACAGGCTCTAGAATAAATCAATCTTGAGAAATGGTCTCAGAAACCACTTGGGTCAGAGTTATATATCACCTGCATCTTATTTCTTAAGCAAATGCTTTGCCTTAGAGGGATACATGCCATGCAGACAGAAAAGACAGCAGTTGGTTGAGGGAATTAAGTAAAATGCCCAAGAAAGCCAGAAGCATGATTTCCAGTGACTTGAGCAGAATGGTGCTGTGCTAGTGCATTAAATCATTGCCAACAACATCCATGGAAATACATGGCTTGTTTGGAATTTCCTTAAACACAATGTCTCGAGTTTTGACCCTGATCCATCTCCTGACCTTTATGCTTGCAGCTTGCTTGTTGAGAGATTTAGTGAATGGAGAAAACCTATCCTTTCCTATTCCTCTATTTGCAGGAACACACTATCTATCTGAAGCAGTAGTTTATTCAGTTCTGATTTATGCAGATACCTCCTGGCTGTATCACATATCGTTATGAGCACCACATTGTCAAAAAAGAGCAAGGAACTGGAGAGAGTTAAGAAACGCTAACAGGGAGCATCAAGGACAGGCCAACATGTCTGAAAAAATTGTGTGGCATGAGTAAGGTGCTCAAGCAATGATTAAGGGGAATAGGGCATTATAGAAGTCAAGGAATGTGTGAGACCTGTGAAGAGGAAGCAAAGAAATGGAGTGTTGTACCTTCTGTCTACTAAGTTGTATTTTTAGAAGTGGATGACTGTAATGGAAACCTGAAAATGGCGTGAGGAATGTGGCTCCCAAGGCAAGGAGGAAAAGTTCTTCACCTGGGAGTTTGGAAACTGCAGCAGATAAAATGTTAGTGGCAGATAAAATGTACTGTCAAGAACAAGTTCTCATGTTCAGGAGGATGGCTGAGATTTTCTGGCAGGTGTTTTCCTTCTCCATCTCCTGTGCTTCTTCAGTTACAGTCAAATCCTTTCCAACTTACACACCTCACCCCTTGTGTTGAAGCCCCTTGGATATACAAGATAGGTAAAATTTGGCTGCACGTCCTTCACTCTTTCAAGCTCCCTAGGACACAGTTCCACATTTGATGGTCTTGAGTGGAAGAGAAGCTTTAGAATGCTAGTGCCTGAAGTAAATAATTCCTTTTTGTATATGTTTTGCAAACATACACCTCAAAATAGGCAATTAGTTCCTCTTGGGAGCATATTTATATTTTGTTAGAAACATTAAAGTGTTGATGAAAAACTGTAGTAATAAAACACTTATCAATTTTTAATTACAATCAGACAAAAAATAGAGGTAAATATTTTCAAAATGTTCAGAGTTAGGCTTCTACAGCAATAGTTTATTGCTTTGGGAGATCAGCATATTTGAACATCAGAAAAGTTGTTAAGGTGCCCTAATATGTACTCAGGAACCTAATTTTGGGTGATTTTTGGTTTTAATTACAGCAGAAAAATCTTTAAAAATTAAGAATGTGGCTTAGCTGCTTTTGTCTATTTAGCTGTCTTTCTTCCTGTTTATTTCTCTATTTTTTTATCTAGGTATGCAATTACTTTTTTTTAATTAATCAGGTTACTTATAGATATTTAGAAAAGCTACAGGACAAAGTCTAGAACTATTTGTTTTCTGCCTAAACTGAGGCAGGAAAGTGACATAAATGTTTTGGTGCTGATCACATTTTACAAGCGTACACTTCAGCAAGCATGATGTAACTATTTTCAAAAGAAAAAAATATTCCAAGTTTCATAGCTGACCAGTACAAGCAGAAATTGAAAAATAATTAAGATTAATGGAAAAGCCCATGAGCTTTATAGAAAAAAAACAAAAAAAAGGGATTATTAGATAATGAAGACCTTTACAATATTTGGAAGCACTTTTTAGACATATCAGAGACTTTTGATTCATTGGTTCAAAAAATTCTCTAGAAATTTTACCAAGTATTACCTAATTCTCTGGGATGATTTTGCAATTTTTCACTGTATTAAGCAGAGCCTTCTTCAGCAAGTGGTTTATTTAAATTTAGAGCACTTTCCCAGCAAGGACAAGTTTATCATCAGAAGAGCAGAATCAGAGCCTGTAGTTTATGCCTGTAGAGCTCAGCTGGATCATCTCATTTTATTTCATATTTCATCATTTCATTTTATAGAATTTGTTCATAAAGATTTCTTATTTATTGAATATCTTATTGAACTGAGTACTAATAACAGCGTTGGAGCACAAGCAGAAGAGACAGGATTCACTTTCAGATGATGTTTTTCTAGGATATCATGCTTACTAGAATTATTTAAAATAACCTCCATATGCGTTATACTCATTATTTCAACAATTTATTATTTAAGCATGCTCAATCATAGAAACTACAGAAGTAAATTTCAAATCTGCAGAGTTTCATTCTTATGATAAATGTATTAAGAGTTTTGCATATTGTATTTAAGCTACACACATGAAGTAACCTTGCTAAATTAAGGACGAATTACTTGGTTTATCATTGTTTGCCTTAAAAATATCATGATCTGGAAAAAAGGAAAAAGAACTTGTGGGGCAGGACTTTACACACTGACTTTTTGGAGGACTGTTGTTATGAATATCACCTAAGCTCAATGGATAATCAATTAGATCTGTGCTTTCTTTGCAGCCCTTTCCAAACACTTTTTTTTCCGAGCCCCGCCATTCTACTCAGCATGCTGCGGTGGGTCCTGTCAGCACCCTGCATCCCCCACTGCTTTTCCAAGTAAGTTTTTATGCTTCATCAGTAATGCTTGAGTTATTCTGTAAACCAAAGCAGCAGGATTTAATGTGTTCTGGAAAACTAATTGGTAATGCAATGGCAGCAGCTAATTCCTTAGTAAAATCACAGCAATCCTATTCAGAGGGTTTCCAAAGATTTATCAAACTTAAGTACACTGAACAATTGTGAGAGGTTTCTAATGGCATTGAGACACCCAGACAGGGCTAACCTAGGGAAGCTCGTTGTTTTCAGTTTGCTAGAAAAGATTCTTTAAAATCAGTAACTCTTTTAAAAATCTGTGTCAATAAACATTTGCAAATAAAAGAAAAGAGCTGAAAGATCTTAAAATGGATACTGCATTTTAATGTCTGTTAGGGATAAATTATGATTCAGGAAGCTCTAGCGTTATTTAAATAAGCCAGTCATTCTTTTTGTAGCAGTCAAATGCCTGCACGTTTAATTTATTTTTCGTTTTTAATTACAATGTAAAAAATTGAAGAAGTAAGTTGAAGATAATTATGGACAGTATACACTATGTATTCAGGATTAAGACCTGGAACACACTTCTGTTTAATCCAAATCTAAATTTAACCTTGATTGTGAAGTTTGCGTGCCATAGTGTAAAAGTGGATATTCATGTTTTCATGTGTTTATGGCCCAGGAATGCAAACAGAAGAGGCATTTCCTAGTCTTTCAAAATGGAGAAAAAGCACAAATTGCCTTGCAAATCCAAATGAAATTTGGGGCTTATATGTGCTCTAGCATACACCAGAGTTGCATTCAAACCCTTCCTGACTACGTGCATGCGTTTTATGAACGATTCAGAAGGGCAGTTGCTAAGTTGAATGATTCTTGACAAGTGAGGCAGCAAATGCTGGCAGTTTAATGAGCTGCAAGCTTCTGAGCACCTCTTTAGGGGGCTGACACTTTCCCACAGAGCGTTTTACATGGCCTCGGCTCTCCCACAATGGCTGACAGCACCATGACCAATCACCACTTTCACTTTACTCATCCACACGCGACCTCACCACAATTTTTCACTGTGCAGATGAACTTTAGGAACCATTTCACATTGAAAAGGCCTGGGCAAGGGTCAGTTTCCCTTTTGTATGGCCATAAAGCAATACTCTATGTGCCAGTCTTTTCTCCTGTCTCACATTCCAAGAGATTTTCTGGACACCATTTAAAGCACTTGACTGAAAAATAAAGCAGTGAATGAAACTGACTTTTATAGACTCATTCTAGCTCATCTTCCCATATAACCCTGTCTACCTGAAAAGGGATTTAGTGGATGAGCTGAGTGTATACAGGGACTTGCTGAATACATAGGCCCATTATCAACTGTGGGGATTGTTTATTAACCAGGACTGATACACTACTATTTTGGAAGTGACCTATTAATTGTCCATTTAACTAGAATGTATTGAATTCAAATGAAAAAATGGAAACCATGACTAAAGCTTTTACTTGCTCCTTCAAGGTGGTCTCTGCCATGAAGGCAAGTGAAGATTGTTCCACAGATTAAGAGGACATTTATCACTATATATTAGGATACAAAGGAAAGATTTTTTTTTTTTAAAGTGAAGCAAAACAAAAATCAAGCCAGCAGCGTAGGAAATAGTTGTTAACAGATTCACATATATGTCAGAACCTTCTGATGCAAGGTTGGAGCAACAGGCTACAAACTGACTTACTTAATTTTGATGGAATTGTGTAATGTCTGAATGAGTGCCAGTCCCACCATACTAAAAAATCCTGTAATCCACAAACTGAAATTTAGTTTTTGTGTGAACAGTCGGAATGCATTTTGGAATATGAGGTATTCTTAAAAAAATTCTCTAGGTTAGTCAGTTGGGGCTGAGTATTCGTTACCCCAAACACAAGTTACAAATTTTTTGATGGAGTGGCTGTTTGCTAATGCTTGTGAGCATTCCACTTACCACTAAATTTTGTTTAATTAATCTTTTAAAATCAGTCACGTATTGGCCTTAGAGCATGTAGATTCTTCACTGTTAAGTTAGTCTAATATAGGTATTAGGCTGTACCCGACATACTGCCCATACAGGAATTAATTGGCGCCTCAGGGCTCTGGCAGAAGGTTGTTTCTTTGCTGATTGACTGTTAACAACCAGCCAGGCAAGACAAATTTTAAGGGGTCACATAATCTGGCATCCTCTGTCCTTGGCTGACAACTCCATTGTGGAATGGAGGCCAGGAGGCAAGGACCAGCCCTGTTACGCCTCTTCCCTTGCTGGTGTCTCTCGTCCCGCAGTGGGGATGAGAGAAGGTACCAGCTCTTCTGCTGTCTGATTACACCTTCCAGAAAACTGGAGAATGGCTGGTGGGTCAAACTACTCAGAGGCTACCTGGAAAAAGGTACCTAAATTCACCAAATTCAAACAAGAAGGAGAGAAAACACACTTGAGGAAGAAGGACCAGTGTTTGCCCCCAGCTTCATGGGCAGGACGGAAGCTTGGGGTAGGGGTCGTGAGGAGGCTGTGCACTCCTCAGAGAAATATGAATCCAGCTTGCCCTTTACAGAAACCTCCATTGTGGCATTTTGACTTTTGTTCTGCAGATGGTTTATTTTGGTTTCGATGGAGTCTGACTGTGTCTCACTGTCATAAATATCAGGAGAGTAACCAGTAGGTTATGATTTTTGCATCTGAAATATAATTTTGAAAATTGAAAAGCATTTGTATAAATTCAGACTTCCTTATATTGTAACATTTTAAATCATAATAATTACTTTTTGCCACAGGCTATTATGAGGGACAAAATGTAAAGATGGGTTCTTAAGGTGTAGAAAAATTCAAGAAAGGCATGTCTACCAGAATGCAGTGGTCCCTAAATCAGTTGTGTTTGACAGTGGCAATGTATTTTAGAGAAGGAACATTGTATACTTGCTGAGCTTCTAATATTCTTCTCTACTGCTCACAGCTGGAGGCAGGATACAGTGGTAATGTATGTAATACCAAACCAGTCACACATGCACCACAAGTATTCAGTCAGTTTTGCAAGACACACACATATACACTTCAGCTTTCCATCATTATACATGCACAGTTCTACAGTATCCTCAGTATATGTGTGTTTGTTTCTCTGTGGGTGTTTAAAAATACACATACCCGTGTATATATGTACAATATACAGAAGTTGAAATGTGATGTAGCCCCAAGGCACAGTTTGTGAGAGTTGCATCTGGATTTAATTTGTATTTCCAAGAGCATTATATCTGTTGAACAAATGTATTTACCACCGCCCCCCCTGCCCCCAGCTAACTGGAATGGATAGACTTTTTCATGAAAGAATGTGCAATCTTTTAGAAAATCTGCTTTACATGGGAATTTTGCCATTGTCTTTGATATGAAAATGATCCTCGACAGGAACCAAACAGCAGCACACCTCTGCAGCTGCTGCAGCTATAAACTGGGATGGCAACGTTGGCCCATGTATGAGGGAAGGTGCCATCAACAGGGGGACAGCTTGTACCAGTAGAGTCTAACTTGCACGTGGTACAAACCAAAGCCATCTTTGTGGCTGCCCTCTCACGGAAGAACTGTAAGTGTCAGTGGCTGTATAGCCATGGCACAGGTTTCTGAATCAAAGGACAGCTCTTTCCTGGCCTGCTTGCAACTGCTCTGTGCCATTATCACACCCAGCGCTTAGTGAGAGGCCCTATTCAACTGGCCTCTGGTACTGCTCCCTGGGCGAGCGTTTGCGGAAGCCAGGAGTGCTGGAGGTGTACCAAGCCTCACCAGGGACTGCTCCCTGTACACCACATCCTTCTAGGGGAGAGGGAGCATGGGAAAGCACTATGGCTTTAGGCTTTGTTGGGTGTGAGGAAGGCGAGAGATTTGTCTGGATTTGTTTTTCTGTGTTCTTTGTGAGGCCAATGAAGGGACAATGTGAACACTTCTACTTCTCTGCTGTAGCTTTCTCCCAACTTTGAGGATGTTTTCCAGGGTAGGGTTCCCTCTAGGCATGGACCAAGAGGATGTGATTGGATTAACTGAAAAATGCTCCCCCAGTACATGCTATGAGATGGCAAAGGATTAGAAACCAGGCTGAAAGGAGTAGGTTCAAGTACGCCCCAAATACTGTAGTTAAGAAATTGCTGCAGTTTCCAGAATGAAACTGTGAATGAGTAAGTGAATGGCCAGGGATTTTCTGACAAACAGTTAACTCTGAAAGCCTTTTGTTAGTAAACAAAACTAAAGAAAGCCTATTTAGTTTCTTTGAATCAGTATTACAGACCACTTTTATCTGGGTCTACATTTCTCACAAGGAGAAAATAAACTTCTAGGAAAACTTACTTCAGTTCACTCAGTGATGATAACGTGCAAAGAAAAGTGGAGAAGTCTCTTCCTGACTATATTTGAATTTTACAGTAGCGTGGGCCCTGTGTTAATGTTCCTCTATGAACTCATCTGATTTACTTTTTACTATGTCAAGGGGAGACTTTTGACCACTGTCAACACCTCTACATCCAAGTGAGGATTTAATCCTTAATGAACCTGACTGAAGCATTACAACACACTTAAAACACCAACAAATCAAAAGCGGGACAGTAGTCTTCTAGCATTATAATGAACAGCACTTAATATTTCTCGATATGTGTTAGATATTATGTGAAACTCTCCTCCATTTCCGCTAGGAGAGGAGAGTGTCCTGCCTCTTCTGACCCAGGAGTCTAACTCCAAAGCCCGGAGAGGTATATTGAGAAGAGCTGTCTTTTCCGAAGACCAGAGGAAGGCTTTGGAGAAAATGTTTCAGAAGCAGAAGTATATCAGTAAAACAGACAGGAAGAAACTGGCCATTAACCTGGGTCTAAAGGAGTCTCAGGTAAGGAAAGGCAGAACATCTGTGACTTTCTGTCTTTTTGAGGAAAAATTGTTAAGATGGCTTTAATGGGATTTTTCATGTAAGTCTGAGTTGGCCTCCTGCAGGAGTTCAGAGTTTAGCTGAGGGTGTAATGCCTCCAGAGAGCTGTTCTGACTGAATGGGTAAGTTAATGGTAGTGCTGAGTGGCAGTAGCCCAGTCTGGAATCTCAGGGGCCTGACCTAGCTGCAGATGAAAACAAAGGAAAAGTACCTGGCTTGAAGAGCACAAAACTCAACTGGAAAAAATGTTTGTGAGGGTATGTAACAGCAGAAAATGAACGTGGTAGCCACTGGCAGGTGGGATTCTGAAGGTGCTGGAGTAGATGCAGAGTACAGCTGAAAGAGAGTGAGAGAGTGACGGTACGATTTTATTTCTTTGCATGCATCAGGAGTGAAAGTGCTTGAGATATGTATGGCAGAAACTGTTCGGGGGGCGGGCAGAAAAGCCTGGGAACGGCAATCGGAGCACTCATCCTCTTTCACTTGGAGATTTTCAGAACTTGACAAGGCCCTCAACAATTGGTCTAACTTTCCAGTTGGCTCCACTTTGTGCAGGAGGTTAGATCTTGTGGTCTGGAGTGGTTCCTTGCAATCCAAATGACTCTGATTCCATGACAAGCACTGGAACTTCTTGTGTAAAGAAAAGAATGATAATAAACTCTCGTTAACTTGCAAACAGGTGAAAATTTGGTTTCAGAATCGAAGAATGAAATGGCGAAACTCCAAAGAAAAAGAAGTGCTTTCAAGCAGGTGCCTCCAAGAAGAAGGTCTTCAGGAGAACTACCTCTCACGATCCACCATGAATTTTACCTCCCCATGCCCATCTGTGTGGGAAGTGTCTCAGGAGCAGGCAAGTCCAAGTTGGAGGGAGAATTCACCAGGAAATTCTGAAAGACTGACTAGTACACAACCACCTCCAAGAGCAAATTCATCGCAGAGCCCACAGTATTTGTATCCTGACCAAGACACTGCAAATAAGGCAGTTACATCATCAGCCTAAGGAAATAGGGGCAGTTTGTAAATTGAGTGGACAGCACAGGCTTCAAACGAGCAGTCTTCTAAGATTAACAGTATTTGGACATTGTAAAGCTAACTAGTTTATGCCTCATAAATTTGCTAAAGTCTAACACCATTAAAATGACAAAACAACTAATGATTTAAGAAGTATTCTTCAACACTGTCTTTTCTTGTTTCTTTTCCAATCTTGTACTGACCTTAAAAGTGAAATAGGAATTGGTGGTAAGTAAAATGAAGTGAAGAGCATGAAGCTGAAGTTGTGCTCTGTTTTATACATCTGCACTGTATATGATATTCATTAAAAACACACTGATAGAGAATAACTTTTATCTCTCATTGCAGTCAGACCAATTAATTTCTTTTGTGCACGAGGTATGAATAATCCTGTTACTCTCAAGACAGTAAGTTGCTTCGGGTTCTTTTTGAAATTCATTAAATGACACAATAGGTTCATATTAGACAAACATGAGCATTTTTAGTATGTTTTCTCCATCTGTCCTCACCTATATCAGTATTCAGTTAGTTTTAAATAGCATGGTCACAGGTCAGCTGATAACTCTGGTAAAGTATGCAGTACTAAAAGACAACCAACCAACTCTATAAAATATTTTGTGAAGTGAATGTATCCTGGGAAATGCAGTTTACTAACTACTCTCTTTTCTCCTGTGGATAAACCTTCCAGCGTTCTTAACTCTGAATTTCAGTGGGTTTTGCCAGACTGTTAGTGCAGTCACACAGAATCACACAGAATCACAGAATCTTCTGTTCTGTACTTCAAAACTGTAATGGCGACATGCAGAGTTGTAGCCCGAGTGCACTAAGCAACAGAACCATAACTGGAAAAACTGCCACTGCAGCCATCTCAGGAGAAGTGCTCACGGAGATGGCATACCGCAGTAGCCTTCTTCCTGACTTACTCCTGCTTAAGCTGGTGCCAATAAGTATGTTTTACCATATGTCCATATCAAAGACAGGTTACTATTCTATGTAATACAAGTAGCCTCAAATAATCGTATTAAAATTACTTTACTTAAAATTACTTTACTTAAAATTACTTGCTTGCTTTATCCACTTCAAGGAAATCACTCTATGAATTTGTCTCATTTTTTGTTTATTTGCAAGGCTTTATAGCTCAAAATGGGAGCAGAATTTTTTTTTTCTTTATCATATGTTTATGAATGCATTTGTTTATAAGAAAGACTGAAGGTATTTTATGTTACAGGCAAAATCTTTTGGAGAACATTGTGGTTTTATAGGGACTGTTTAATTTCTGGCAGATTGATGTATCTCATATTCAAAAGAGGTGATTATGATAATCTAGTCTGGCTTTCCACATCATCCATGCCATGAATGTTTCTAATTATTCTTGCCTTGAGCTCCAAAGCTTTTTGAACTGTAGTGTACGTCTTTCAAAAAGCAATACAACTGTTACTTCACGTTTAACCTTTTGGTGGATGATCTGCTATTCCCTCGTTATGCTGTTTTACCTATTTGCAGCGAAAAAACTTGAGATTGCAGTGATGAAGCTTGTATCATAAACTTTATGCATGATCAGGTGAGTTTTGTGTCCCACCTTGTACATGTCCTGCCTTCTAAATGGTCTACTGTGCAGTCCTAGTCTTGCACTAGTATATCATTCTTTGCATGTGATTTCCTACACTTGGTTTAACGAAACAGGAAATTACAGAAAAAAATTAGAAGTCATCTCTTCCTATGGTTACAAACCCTCGTTAGCATAAGCTGCCTAGATACCTGCCCTGCGAAGGCACTTGAACGCATTCAGTGTGCTGTTTAGTAACTTGAGAAGCTTGTTCCTATCTTGCGATACCAACTCAGATTCTGCCTAAAACCTTTAGGGGTGGACAGGCAGAATGTGTACACACAGGGATGAATTTACTGCCCAGTTGTCCTGTTGGGAGTCATAGTTCTGCCCTGTTGGACTAACTCCCGCTTGAAAGACCAGCAAGTGTTGTTGGCCCAGATTCTTCTGATACGGCATTTGCTAGTGTCTGCTGACAATGAAAGGCATGCAGGTATTCCCAGATAGCCATCAGACGATCAAGTGGAGGTACATGTGCGGGGGGATACTCATCGGTGCTTCCCATTTTGGAGGAAATCTGTGAGGGTGACTGGGCTTTCCCCATCTTACCTTTCAGGGAAAGGGAGTCTTCACAGGTGCTCATACTGCAAGTCAATTGAGCATCAGTGTTAGAAGCAACCCTTCTGGAGAGGGGAGATGGGATTCAGGGTGTTCCCCGGGAAATTCTTTCACTTGATGGTGTTGCAGGCACTGAGTGTGAACTGCTGTCAAAGCTCTGAGCTGATGCGCTACACAGAATACATCTGACAGATGACTGACAGAGATCAAGCAAGGCTCATGTAGAATTGGTTTCACAGTTTTAAATATTAGACTTCTTTTTTAAATTGAGCAAGTTCTGGTTTCACTGCAGCCTATTAAAACATGCACCATTTAATGGCCTTCCAAATTTCTTAGCACCATCCACCACCAGTATTCTTATTCCACAGCTAGGATAAAGTTTCAGTATGCCAGATAAAACATTGTTTACTTGAAAATGCTGATCAAACTTTCTTGAAAATCATAAAAGTATACATGTGAATTTTGAATTCTATTTAAAATAGTCTTGTCCAGTTAGTCAAAATGGATTTAGGCCTGTGACTCATACAACCTTGATTCCTCTCATTTTAAGCTATTTAAAGGAGAAGTTTCCCTTTAGTCCGTACTGTGAAAACTTGGTAAATGAGAAACAGCACCCAGTATGAGTACAAAAATATGATATATTTACAGTGCCAGTCTTTTCTTTGTGAAGGATCAAGTAGTAAGTATTCATTTTCTTCAAATAATGTATGCACACTAATTATAAGACCACAAAGAGAGCACAAATTATATGCAAAATCCCCAGCAGATGTTTGAAGTGTTTTGTAATAGACACATTGCAGAGGCGTAAGGTGTAGAATGCATCTAGTGTTGTTATGGAGTGACGTGATAGATTCCGATGTCACCTCACAGCTAAAACCAGCAACATATTACTTTGACTTCAAAGACAGGACCTAGCAGATACCCTACAACCATGCCACAGGGTAATCTGAGGTCTTTCCTATGTGTGGCATTTTGAGACTATAGTTCCAGGCTGTAGTGTGTGACAAAGGACGTCGGTTGGGATCCTGGGGCTGGGGAGAGTTCAGGTACCTCAAATTGCGAACAACAGTTAGAAAACCCCAGCTCTTCAGAGGACACAAACAAAGCAGATACTTATACTCACTGCGCACTTCTTTGTTTAGTCTGGCAGGTTCTCAATGCTGATATATTAGAGAATATGAGGGGAAAGGGAGGCAGGGCTGAGACTCGGTACTGGCTTTGTTGCCGGAGCTGCAGACTCCCTCCCGTGCACCCAGGCTGTGCTGCTGACATAGGGGTCTTGCTGCCCAACGGAGAAGCCTCAGGAACAGGAGAGGCTTTTCTCACCCTACCTGTTGGACATCCTCCAGACAGGCCTGAACGTGGATCTTGAAAGTCTGTTCTTAAGGTCAGGCACTTAAAGGAGCATCTCTGATACCTAACAAGAAGGTGCCAGTTTCCTTTTCTAGGTTTGGCTCTTTGTCTTCTCAAAGGTATCACAAATGATGCAGGTCATGCCAGTCTACATCAGGCACAACCAGTCACTTTTTACTGCGTGTAAACAACTGAGGCTGTGAACCCAAGAGGCCAGTTAGCTCCTCCATGGACCTCATATAACATCGCTAGAAGCTGGATTTGCTCACCACACCTATGTCAACACTTACATTTTGGTTGTACAGATTTATAATATGAAATAATTTTCTAAAAGTTGTCTTGTTTTTACTGATTCTTTGCCAAACAGGAATTAATTGTTAACAATCTGCTGAGGAGAACAGGACTGCTTTGAGGCACAAATCTGCATCCCTAGCTTCAGTGTCAGAACAAAAGTACAATGGTCAAATGTCACTCCTGAGCTGCAGTAATACATCAGATTTGTTTTATCTGCTGTGATTTACTAGTACTTGCTTTTAAATACCAGTTGCCGTCACTGTAGCCACACAGCTCCTCTGGCGGATGTATGTTCCACAGTCAAAAGACCGACATAAATTAAGTACATACACATGCTTCAGCACCCTTTACCATCAAGACCATTACTGATTTTCACAAACTAGAAGGAAAGACAGACCAATTTCAAGCAAGTTAGCTGTAAAGTCAGTGCCTTAAGAAAGGAACGGAGAGGAATTAAGGTCCAGTTAACTCAAGACTTCGCTTTGGACCATGGGAAGACCAAAAAGCCCCTGCAGGGAAAGGTTCATAGTGGACAGGATTGCCATTGACTGTAGAAGCCTTTAATGACTGTGCTTGTAAGTTTTGTGCCCAATGACTGCTGCTGTATAAGATAAACCAACCCAGGTCGGAGATGGTCTGCATGCAGGCTTGCACCTAAATTAGGAGCTGGAAAATGGCAACTCCCACTCCTTGGTTGCCTATAGATACGGGTTGTAATTCTAAGCAATGAAGCTGGGCATGGTGGACAGGGATGTCACAAGGCAACATCTCAACAGTGATCCTCCCGTACTCACCCAAATGCAAGAAATCTCACCTTTTATAAACATCCTGCCCTTGAGGAATTCTTCAGTTTTTCCAAGTAATTTTTTCTTCACATGTCAACATTTGAATGTAATATGAGGTAGCTGAACAGTAATGCCTATTGTTCAAGGAATACAGTTTCCTTTTGTTTCTGCTTTGCTATCATATGGTTTTAGATAAGGATTAAACTACAAGTGACATCTGTGCCTACCAGATTCAGCCTAAATTTAAGATACACTATCAAAGCCATTTAGCACATTATGAAAGGAAGAAAAAAATTTCAGTCACTGAGTGTCATACTCTTCATCATCATTCTGAAAAAATGGAAAAGTTGTGGTGAGGAAATCTTAATGCACAAAAGCAACCTCCAGTAACTTAAAAAATGAATGGGACTATACAAAAATGTCAGTATTCTGGGGTAATCCTGCAACGTTTCATGGAATAAGGTCTGAAGAAGAATTAAGATTTTTTTAAAGTCTTAAATTTATTTGGCTGACAAGGAAAGTTAATGGAAATGGAAATTACACCATGACTTGCCTATAACAGACGTGGTTGCAGGTTGTTGCACATGAGCCCAGCACTTAACTGGAAGCCAGTCCTGATTTTCTGATTTTCCATTAATTTACAAAGTTGTTTCTCCTAAGTTAATACTCTCAGATGCAAATGATGCATTCTCAAACTCCAGAGCATTTGACTGTAGCACACAGTCTTACATTTTAAAATATTCCAAACTAGTTTTGCTGCTGTCTTGGAGAGAAATCACGCAGGAAATGAAGTCTTCCCTGTGTAAA